GATCGCCCCCTGGAGAGAGTGTCAGGGGACTAATGGGGGCCGGCCTTCTCCTGGGTGAACTCGCCAGGCCCGTCGGAGGAGGGTTGGACAGCGAGGAGAGACGCAGAGATGTGTGGATTGATGGATTGCTGAGAGATGAGTGTAGCTGAGAGTTGGTGAGGGACGCCTGGATGGAAGGGTTGCTTAGAGAGGATGACAGCCCTACGAGGACAGCAAACATGACATAATCAGCTTCAGGGGTTAAAAGTGCTTCTTGAACCACCTTAATGAAACCAATAATGGCTTTATGAGTCACTGCGTGCAGGCCGGCTCCTGTCCTGATGTCCACTCCTCAGAAAAGACACTGAGCAATTGTCTGCAGGTTACTGGACCAGTGAGAGCGAGAGAGAAAAGAGCTGTTTATGAGCAGCCAATTCAGGGGTTAAAGGTCGGCTGTGTCTCTGGGGATCAGCCAATCAGCTAGCAGCACAGCTGAAACGGGCAGCAGAAACATCCCAGCACACCCTGTTCCCAGACATGAGAGCAAATGGAAAGAATAAAGCTGAAGAGAATGGAAGTCAAAGAGAGCAATCAGATGGCGGATGGATTTAAAAAGGGGGGAAGAGAGAGGAGGAGAGCTGTGGTCTTCTGCATGGATGTGGCCCTTTAGAAAACACATGGCATTCATATCCAAGAAAGCGCCTACAGTTTAAGCCTACAGTGTGCCGTTAAACAAAGCCCGGAGTGTTCAGCCAGGCTCTTCTGAAGCCAGGAGATGCTTTAACAGCAAACGAGCCTCCTTGAATAACGATTTGGTCACAAACAAAAGCTCTTTTTATTCTTAGACTATGAGATTACGCATGTGTGAAATCCAGTACAAGTATTAAGGTGTCTGTTTATGCTGCATTTAGTAAACCCACTGACCTTGTGAGTTTCCGATGCCCAGATGCATCATGGCTGCGGGGAGGTTGCCGGTGCTGCTGCCTCCGCTCAGGTTGGGATATCCAGCCTCGTCGGGGTCCAGAGGAGTGGGCAGCGGAGAGGGGAAGTGCAGGTTACTGAGGTCAGGCAGAGACCCGCCAGTGTTTAAAGTGCCCTGGTAGTGAGACAAACCTGCATTCTGCTCTGGAGAAGGGAATATACTGCAGAGAAACAGAGACGGACAATTTCAGCATGTTTAAATGTACAGCAAATATCTAGTAAGCAACCAATCAACATGCACACAAATTTCTCTTGACTTACTTGATTCCAGGAACTTCGCAGGACTTTGGCCGGGAGGACAGAGACTGCACCTGCAACCAGGCAACATCTGCATTATATATCCACACTCCCGGAGATACATTTTGCGAACTGCTATCTACAGACAATCAATTAGTATTGTAGCTGGTAAGA